CTGCACAAGGCACGGGAGATCACAGACACTGTTTTCCTGTAACTTATCCATAACTAATAACAGAAACAGGCTTGGCTCAGCCTTGCTGTGTTTATCAACAGAGGGAGGGGACAGTTTAACTAACCCCAGGAAGTATGACAGTCCCAAAGAGCAAAACATGCTTGTTGTTGTGACTAAAAGCAGGCAGGGGGTTTTCATTTTACAGCTGGAAAACATATCCCAGTTGCTGTAACCCCAACACAAAACCGTAACTAGATAGTGCGAGCACATGGCTGCCCTCACATACCTTCCCCCTGAAATCGGAGCAGTCACATGAGGGTCAATCTGTTGTTTTTTTGTTTTTGTTTTTGTTTTTTTTACCTGTCCTGGAATACCACAGCAATAAACAAGGCAGCCAGAGGCCAGAGGGCAAAGATAAATAACACAGAGAAGAAAGATGAAAAAAAAAAAAGCAGTTTGGAGCTGAGAGAGGAAATAAAGAGGGACCGTTCCTGCAGCACGTAGGGGCCATTCCTTGCTTCAGTGAAGCTTCATTTACTGCAGCTTTTTCATCCTACACAGATGTAATGCACTGCTCTTGCATTTTTTAAAGCCTCACAAGTAATCCTGTTTGTGCCATTGTACAGGGACCTGCCGAGTAGGTCAGGAGCAGTGGTGTGCTTCAGTGGGAGGGGAGCCACACACCATATAAATGATGGCAGCAAGAAAGATTTACCTCTGAAAAATACTAGAAAACAGGGAAAACAATAATCCTTAATCAAAATGTTTGTAACAGTGTGGCTTTGCAGGTGCGCCAGACTGGCAGATTACCTAAACCAACCCCAGCAGGGCTGAGGTCTTTAGAGATCACAGAACATTCTGACTTGGAAGGGGCCCACAAGGATCTTCAAGTCCATCTCTTCAGTGAATGGCCCCTCCAGGGACTGAAGCTACAACCCTGGCACTATTAGCACCAGGCTCTAACCAACTGAGCCAATCTCAGGTCATGCATATGAGACACCACCTGCTCCCAGCCCAGGGCTCCTCATAGGTGTTCACCAACCTGTTATTGGTGTGTTTTTCACATCTAAAAAGGTTCTTTTTCTCCATCAAGTCCATCCCAGTGAGATCTAATTTCCAAGTCTGCTCAGTGCTGGTCAGGTCATCCCTAGCTCAGAGTTAGCACTGACCTTTAGTGACTGGTGCCAGCAGCATGTTTGGTGTCACAAGGCACCAAAGGAGGGGTAGTGTCTGTCTCAAAGGGTTTCAGTCCAGAAGAGCATGATTTTTAAAAATATCTATTCCACTGTCATCTATCCTGACACTTGATAATACTTGGCTGCTTTTAGAGAGAAAGAGGGTCATTACTGCAGTCAGTGTTTGAGGAGCAGGGGGAGAGGAAGATGGGCACAGGAAGGGGTGGGGAATGAAGATCCTGTGGATGCACCTGGTCAGGGAATAAGCTGGGAGGAGCTCTCAGGTGGCTAATCTGTGCAGAGAAGGAAAGAGGAAGCACACTTCAGTGATGGGGGAGATTACACCAAAGGTTTGGTGTAAAAATTGGGAATCCAAACCTGGCCCAGCAGAAAAGACAGTTGGATTGCTGGGAGCAGGTGGAGAGCAAAGAAGGAAGAATATGTCATGAGAATGGAAGTGAAAAGAGGTATTTGTAAGTGGGTAGAACAGACATGAAGGGACAAAACCAAGCAGGGGACAGAGGTGAGAAGCATGCCCTAAAGGGAGCACCTGAGTGCCCGAGGTGCTGTAAAGAACAGCATATAAGACATGTAGATGTGGCACTCGAGGACAGGGTTTAGTGGTGGGCTTGGCAGTGGTAGGGTATTGGTTGGACTCCATGATCTTAAAGCTCTTTTCCAATCTAAATGGTTCTACAATAAGCAGGCACCTTCCAACAGCACCATGAAGCTTCAAAATTTACTATTTACTTTGGTCCAAACCTGCCAAGAGCCACCCCCTGTGGCAAGAGGCTCAGCTTGGGTAACTCTGCTTGCTGCAGATCTGCTCCCTGGAAAAGCACACCAGGATCCCAAACAAAACACCGTAATCTGGCAGAACAGAGTATCACTACCTCCTTCCAGCTGATCACGTGAAGACATTGCTTAACACAGCTTAGAAACATGCAGTATTTATGTCTTTTTGCTAGTCAGGTGATAGGCTTGGGATTACAACACACTTGCCCATACCCAGGCCCAGCTCCAGACCAGCCTCAGGACTCCAGGCAGGAATAAACACCACTGTTGCAATGCACAGAACATCCTGTCCCCTCCCCTCACACCAACACTTACCGAAGGGATCTAAATAAAACCAGACCAGCTGCTGAGGAGGGGCATGTTCAACAGGGAACTGCGAGGCTGCGATGGAGACAAAGCGAGTTCCCTGCCAAGTGATGTTACAAGCAATAGGGACATCATTTATCTCTGCTGGAGTCTGCACAGCTCTGAATGCTGCACTCGGATGGCACTTCATAGGATGCTGCTCTCCAAAAAACTGACATCCCAGAAGTCAGAGAGCCTCCTAAAAGCTCTTTATTACACCTGTTTTCCCAGGCTCAGCTGAGACAACCCATGAAAACAGAACATGGTAATTCCCAAGACGATCCCGAGCTTACGTAACACCGCGATGGAATCTCTAATTAAAATACCGGAGTCAGCCATTTCAGCGTTATGCCTTAACGTGGATAATCAGGATCATTCCTTCCACTCACCTGGCCAGCAGGATCCCCTGGTATTCCTCCAGCTGCCGCATGAAGCTGGGGTTGGGCTTGGTGACCGTGCGTCGTTCCTTCACGTAGTCGTACGCCCTGTCCAGGTTCCAGCCGTACTCCTTCATGGCATAGGCGATCACCGTGGATGCTGAGCGGCTCACTCCCATCTTGCAGTGCACCAGGCACTTAGAACCATTTTTCCTGAAGCAGAAGAAAGACAAAAAGAGGATCTTTTAACATAAAACGTGGCTTCTGAGAAGCTTAAGAAAACAGCAACTTCTTTGTCAGAGCATTATCAAATGCATTTTCAACTCTCTGGCCACAGATGAAGTCTGGGATGTGATCTGATAATCCAGTTTACAAACTAGAGCAAGACCCACAGAGACAGTGAAGAACAAGGTCTTATTAATATTCTTAACAGATTTTTTTTACAACAGCTCTTCTGAAGCTGTTATTGCCAAGTGGACAATCATAGATTTATGAAGGCCTCTAATTATTTCAAATAAAAAGAGCACCTATACCACAAACATGGTGTCACAGTCTAGAAACACATCCCTGGAAGCTACTGAGCAGTTCAAGGAAGCCTCTAGCAGAGACATGTTCTTTACTGCACACTTCTGACAGCATATTATTAGGTTTGTCAAGTGGCTGAACGAGACCGACATTGCCTTAACCCTCACCTAGCTAGGAGACAGAAAACTACAAAATGAAAATGTTTTGATTCTAGGTAGGCAAGAAGGAAAAGTAGTTATGAAAATCGGCAGGAAAATACAAAATGCTTAGTATACATCTCCTAAATGTGTGGGTTCTGTCCTGAAAAGACTTACTTTGCCTTGGAGATGAACTTGTAGGTGTCATTCCAATAAGCCAGAAGATCTGTTGCTTCTTCATCATAAACCCGAATATTGTGGTATTCAAAGAGCCCAGGGAAGAAGTTGTCTATCTCTCGAGTCACATTCAAAATATACCTCACCCTGCATGGAAACAGAGAGAGAGAAACACAGCAAGTTCAGAGAGATGTCACACTGCTCCACCACCCTGCCTGGCTTTGCAAGGTCCATTTGAAAGCAGTCTTGAACAAACTTCCTGGGAAACCAGGAATTAATGTAAAGAAGCAGCAACTAACACAGACAAAAGGTTTTGCTGAGCAGTTTAGAGCCTGATAACAGGGTTGCCATCCATGCTGGACAGAAACTTCCTCTGCACTATGTCAGGTAACACTGCCCCCCACCTCTATTCTCCATGTCAGCAACACTTGTGTCACAGGAGCCCCAGCACAGACTGCTCAATCACATTTTCTTAAAACCCCTTTGTGAATCTCTCCTTCTGCTCCATCAAAAACACAGGAAGATGGAAGACACAAGCTCTTAAGTAAAACCACAGCTAAACAAATGCATAAAATAACTACAGAGAGATGTAACAGACAATAAGCCCTTGGGGAAGATTTATTTCTTATCCTTAAATTTTCTGGAAAGGAAACTGCTTGAGAAAGCACATGGTATTTATGTATACTACATTCAGTATTTTGAGCCCTGAGGGTTACTCGTAAGATGCTTATGAAATGCACTCATGCTGGGATATCAGACAGAACAAGGGCACTGCAAGGGAGTGACATCCCTTTTTCCCAAGCAGGTATGAGATTGCTGGCAGCCAAGTAGGACCAGCTGGACTCAAGGAAACAGCAGCAGACCCCGAGCTCAAGAAGAGGAGTCACTTTTGCCAGGCTGAATTTCTGTGGTACAGAAATATGTTATCAACTCAGCAGCACGATTACTTTTTTCCACTGGATTGGCACAAATAAGCCAAACCCATAAATAACGGTTTAATTGCGAAATCTTAGTGCTCAGTTCCACCTGGCCCTAGAGAAGGACACTCTAAGCTTAAGCTTGAAAGGTAGAATGGGCAGGAGCCAGAGGAACCCATCAGTGCTCAGCTTGAGAGCTACAGGACTTTACTTCCCACTGGGCCCCACTCAAAGCAAGGAATGCTCTTTTCCATGTTTTCCTTCCTGCCGCAGTCCAGAGGTCCAGACTCCGAAGCGCCTCCATAATCAGTCCAGAACAACGGGCTGGGGCTGAGGGCACGGAGCCAACTATGTTCAGTAATTGTAGCTTTTTACTACTTATAGCTGTGAGATTGCTGCCTTCCTTTGTTCTCCTTGGGGACGTTAGTCAAGGTCAGGGAGGAAGGTTTTTGTACTTTAAGGGTGCCTGCTTGTGGGACATGGAGCCTGCAGGAAGCAAGAGCCTCTTTGGATCTGTAAACCCCTCAGTAAGACTGAGGTTACACACAGAAGGCATGGAACAGAGCTTGTTGCTTAGACAAGTGTTAAGGCCGGGCTCCTGCTTTTAAGCTGATGGCCTGAAGCTACTTACCCTCTGTTCTGCAAGTCTTCCAAATTGGAGGCGTTCCATTCTGAGCCCTGCAGGGAGAAGATGCAAAGGGATACATCAGGCAGCAGGAAGGCATGGCCAGGCAACTGGTGGAGGGAGAGATTGCCACCACTGAACTGGAGGAGGAAGCTGGCCAGCCAAGTGTTGGATAACTGGGCATGTTTTGAGTACAGGGGTACACAGAAGAGCGGTAACAGGGCTGATGTTCAGCCCCTTCCCTCGCCCCATTAACCAGACCTCTTCTGAAACAAGAAGCAGCTCTGCAAAGCAGGAGCCCAGCACCATTTGCTGGCACTTCCTGCAAACTGCTGACTAATCAACCTCGGCAAGACAAGACACACTCCACCCTTTCCCTGGAGGCTGCTGCCAGCTCTGCCCCACAGAAGAGAAACTGCCTGCATTTAAAAGCCATCCAGGTGCTCTTTATACATGAAACACCCATCTCGAACATCAAAGGCAGCAACACCATAAGCTCACTTGGGTTACACCTCTTCAAAGGCTGTGTGAGCAGAGAAATGAACACATTTAACCCTGGCTAGCTAACCCCTCTTCTCTGCAGCACACACAGGGCCTCCAAGTTGCTTGCTTCCTGCTCAAACACAAACCTGACTGAGGACAAAACCACTCTTCCTTCAAAATTTAAGGTGCACAAGCATCTGCTTTCCCAGCTTTAAAATGGCTCCCAAATGGAAACATGGTTCAGATAGAGCAAGCAACAGGGATCCAGGCAACAATACCATCAGTGCAGAACAGTCCTGCTCATGGCTGCTCCCACAGTACAGGCTTCCACATTGCCCCAGGGCCAGGAGAGGCACAGCCAGGCCCTTGGAGCACACCCACCATCAGCCTGAGAGCGAGAACGTCCCAGGCCTACAGCAGCAGCAGTGTCCACCCAAAGGATGAGTTGCTGCTTGCCCAGAAAGTCTGCACAGGCACCCCAAGTCTGAGATGGGGGAGCTCCAAGAGCTCTGACTCACAGACACACACTCACACCCCGGGCAGCCCTTGCAGGCAATTCCAAGGACTCACAGTCTGTTCAGGAGAACACACACAGGAAAGGGCCATGGTACTGTTCTGGTAGCTAGAACAAGACAAGTCTGGGGGACAAGTCTATGGCTTTTTCTTGGCATTTAAGGAATACAGCAAACAAAAAGCAACTGGTTCTTCCAAAACTGAACTACTTCCTAAGAGAAATCATCGTAATGAAGACACCATTCAAGGGTTCAGCATAGATTTGAGCAGAACAAAGGGGCAAATATTACATGCCATGGTAGCCCAGATTTCAACAGAATCCATTGCCTTCAGCCACAGATCAGGTCAATCCCAGCACAGTCCAGAGCTGTGCTTGATCTGAAAAAGGACTATATTGGGTTCTTGCTATCTGCCAACATATTTTGATCACATTTACCCAAGCCCCCCAGACTTCATGTTGTCTCTTTCTAGACTAGCAAGAATAATTTAATTCAGGCCTGGGAACCACCAGTTTCCACAGGTAAGGAGAACAGTGCTTTAGGGGTGAAAGCCTTTTCTCCTGTCCTTTGATCCACAATTACCAACATCATCAGGTCTCTCATTTCCTGCTTAGTTGTTTCAGCACTCCCAAAGTGGGATCCCACAGGGCTCTTGCCTCCACTTGGAAAGGAACAGCTCCTTGCCTTCCAGAGCCCTCACAGGCAACAGACACGCTCCTGAGTGAAGGTGGTGCCCAGCCCCAGCAGCACTGCTCCTCACTGCAGCAGCTGCTTTGCAAATACTTCTGTTCCACACATTAGCCACAGTTCTTCTCCTTGGTGCTGCCTCCAAGCCTTGTTTTAAGGTCTTTCTTCTTCCCATTAAATGCACTCAGAGCCAAGACTCCAAGCCCTGCAGGGGACCAAACTGCCTGTACAGCTTTTGAACAGCACCATAAGCCTGTAACAGGTCTCTCTCTCTCCTTATAACACATAGTCTGCAAAAAATAAAAATCCATTACATCGTAGGTACTTAAAGTTTCCTGGCTCTACCCCAGCGTGATATCCTGGGAGTGCTCACGTTAACACACACCATCCCTTCTGAGCTGGAGACTGGGAGAGGCCCTCTCCACTTGGAAAGACCAGCTGGTCCAAGAGGAATGGCTTTGTGTAAAGCTGAGCCAACCTCATAGGCTAGACAGCCCAACCAAACCCGCGTCCGTCGCTCCGGGGCTGGGAAATCCAGTGGAGCGCTGACTCACCAGAAGGAGCTGCAGCAATTAGACAGGCCCCAGCAGCAATGAAAGGCAACTAGGCAAGCAAAACATTAAACAGCAAAATGTTTACGTTTCCTTAAGTGACTTATCTCCAGGATTCTTTGTTAGGCTCCTCTGTTCTTCCTGGATCACACAAACTCAAGAGTTTTCCATGTTACAAGAGCATCATTCCACCTGAATGTCACACACATATAATGCAAGAACTAGGGGTGTGGGTATCCTGGAGAGTTAAAGCCACACAACTGGCCTTATATCAATGGAAACACCCCTGAATAAGTTAGAATTAAGATTTTTTCCCTTCCATCCTCTAGTGACAGGGTCTACAGCTTGGCAAAGTTTAGTACAGCCGAAAAACCAGGCTGCTCTTGTTCAGCAGCACTAGTGTCTTGTTTAAGACAATGTGACCCCAGGATCTACCATCTCTCCTTCAAAAGTCCTTTAACTTCCTCCAGAGGCCCCTGTGTCAACCAAGACACAGAGAGAAGTGTTAGGAGTGTTGAATTCACTGTTAGACTTACCAAAAAGACATGATCAAATATCTGTGTGGGGCTGTCCATCTGCCCGAGGATCACTATCATTTCATTGTCAATGAACTCTTTGAACTCCCGCAGGTTACACACCATCTGCATCTCCAGCTCGGTGCGTATCTGCATGGGGAGGAGGGACACAAGGAAGCCACGTGAAGCTTTTGTTTCTGACCTTTCCCAGTGGCATGAAGTACAGAGCTCTCTAGTTTGCACAACAGCGCTTCCAGTGCTGCTCCCTCACCACTCACCTCTTTTGATGTGATGTTCTCCAAATCCTTCTGCATCATGATTTCCCTTAACTTGGTCTTAATTAGCCGTTCCGTGCGTTCCCGCTCAGTTGGGCTAATCAGGAGAAAGCAACAGAGTCACTGTGAGGGGAAACAAACTGGACTCATGGCACTTATAAAACAGGTATTGTACAGACTGGATGCTCTGTGGAGTCTCAGATTCCCACTCTATTTCCCCCCACCATGTTCTCAGCTGCAGGGAATTCAGGTGACTGTAAAACCCGGTTTAGATTCCCAGTTGTGTATGAAAGACACCAACTGAATGCCCCTAATCCATTGTAGTCATCCAGAGAACCTCTGGTATTTGGTAAAATTTAAATTGGGAAGGCTGCATTATACCCTCTGGAGCAATATCTAAGCCTCTCCCTACCTTTCTTGGAAAGGTAACAGCTCCAAAACTCCTTACATGGAGAGACGAGGGCAGCTAAGCCTCTGCATTCCTCCCGCCCCTGCTGCCAGGGCCTTATCACCAGCTGCAAAAATAGCCTGACTAACACCAGGGGAAGCTGCAGCAGAGCAGCAGCACAGGGCTGGCTCACCCAGCATCTCTAGAAGAGACCCAGCAGTGACATCTTGCACCACCTTTTCCTTTTTCTGGAAGGCTGCCAGGCTGGAGACGGCACAGGCACTACAGAAGTGTTCAACTGGTGGCTCACAAATAAAAACCAAAGTTCCTGGTCCTTTTAACCTCACTCGTTATTTCAGGACTCAATTAACAGAATGCTGTTTAAGTGTCCCCAGGAAATCATTCAACTGCTGCCACCAGGGAAAGGGTGGGTTAGATAAAATTTATATATGAAAAGCTACAAGAAAATATTAATCTGACAGCCTGCCAAAGCTTTTCAGCCACCCTCCTTGCACATTAAAAACCAATCAAGTGTGAAGACTTGTTCACAGCTGAACAACTGCTTAGCATCATTATTCACTCACTGAACTCCAGCAACAGGAAATATCTGGGAGCATAAATCAACCAAAGGCACAATTATGCTGGGAAAGCAGCTGGGGCCAGTGAAGTCATTTCTTCTACAAACTGGGCAACTTAAGCCCTCACACTTGGCATAACATCTGGACACCGACTACTTTTGAGGTTACATGGTATCAGTATCATCAGGAATGACTAATGACATGGGTAGTAAACCTTGAATGTCTACAAATTTTGCCTTTCCAAATTGCCTACCCATCTAACTCAGCCACTGTTTGGACCATCCTATCAGCAGATATCCAAGCATTTAGCTGGAGGCATCTTGGGACCTATACACTGTCCTGTTCCACACTTGCTGAGCTCCTCAGAATCACAAAAAACTGCATTGCTCTTTATCCCCATCCTTAGGTGTACCAGATGGATGCCATGAGGATGTTTTTGAGCTCACAGGCTCAGAAGTTAATACACAAACACTTCACTTTACAGCAAAATTACCTGAGTAAAGATAAAAAGACCATGTTAGTCTAAACATGAGCAAAGTCAAGAGAAACCGGTTCCTTCCAGGCCTGGATATCAGAAGACAAATCCAGCAGAGAGGAAGGCCTAGGTACACACACCTCTCTCACTAGGAACACAGGATTTATGCTGCAGAAACAAAGGTCTGGAAGGCTAAAGCCCAAAGTAAACAACTAAACTGAAAACAGAGGCTGAAGAAGAAGCAAGGGAGCCCCAGGAGGGCTAAACTTTCAGTGCTGGGGTTTACCTAACCATGAGTCTGCTTATTACCTCTGGAACAGGAAACCTCTCCTTATTAACACCTAATTAAGAGCAATCTCTTGTGGAAACTGTGTCCTCATTTGGAGAGCTCGACAGTCAAACACTTTGTCTCAGCAGAGCCAAACCAACTCACACATCTGTGAAGAGGGCAGGTGAGTCGGGCCGGTGGGACTGGACATCTTGCATGGCATTCCACTCGTTGACCGACGACTGGTCCGAGTTGATATGGCTCTCATAGTAACTGACCCACGTGAGGAAGAGGCTCCCTGGATAGTAATTGTTGCTCCGTGCCACTTCACAAGCCTTATGTAAACTCTGCAGGGCAGACCTGGGAAGGGAACAATACCTGCAGGTTTGTAATTTCTTCCTCAGGCTGGTATTGAGCACAAAGCAGCCGCCAAATCCACGATGCTGCTCGTGTTCCATCAGTTGGTACAAACCCCAGTGCAAGAGCCCTGGCACCGAGCAGGAGGCTGTTCTGCAGGAGTGTGGATAGCTACACACTGCCAGAGCTTGCATGTCTTAACTGGAGTATGCCAAGGCAAGCCTGGATAGTGGTGAAGGTGCCCACAATTCAGAGCGCAGAGGCACTCGTGTCTCTGGCTCCAAAACGTGCTGCATCTACCCAAGCCCTAAATAAGACGCACAGTTTGTGTCCAAGACAGGGTGCTGACAGCTCCTGCTGTGCCACCAGCTCCCCTGCGTGCAGGGCAGGGACACCCAGGACTCAGAGCTGGACAACCAAGGGCTTAGGACTGTACCGAGGTGTTTAAGTGTCTGCTCTCTCTCACTGCATGAGGGATGTCAGAAGTTTCTTCAGCTGCTGCTGGGAAACAAATCCCCCTCTCCTATTTTTAGCTTATTTTAAATCTTTGACTGTGATCAGAAGGATCCAGGTCAAAATCACTGGGGTGACAGTAGCATGACACCCTGACAGGCAATGTATTTCTGCAATGCAAAGAAGCTCAAGCCAGAAATACTTACATGACCACTACACGAACCACCCTAAAAGGGAAGAGAAATGCAGGCAGCTTCTCTGTCCTTCTCGCTATCACAATGAACATGTCTCAAAATATTTCAAAACATATACTCAAAGCAATTTTACTTTGGGGAGACTCAAAGCAGCAGCCCTCTGCAAGGAAAATTGCCCTATTCCTTCCTGCCCCCAGCTGAGACAAAGCTGCTGTAGAGCAGCACTCACGCAGGGTTTTTTTCTTTTGGATCAAACTTCTTTCCTTGTCCCTGAATGAAACTTCTGGCTGCTGGAATAGGTTTCAAGACACCAGTACCGTAAAGTAGCACCTGCTTTTAAAAGCTCAAGCAGCCAAAACACCTGGAAAAAGGATCACTGGGACAGCTGATAGTAAGCACTTACCACATTGCTTGTACAGACACGGGCTTGAATATGTGCACCCTGTTATCTGTTGATACGCTGAACCCTCTGGTGAGAAGAAAAAAAGGCACAGTAAAAATGCATCCCAAAAGTCACTTTTTAGTTAATAACTTATAGTCTGCAGCACATTAGAACAGCAAAGGTCTAGCCCTATGCATACACTGCTGACTTCAGCTAGCAAACAGATCAAAATAGCACGCTAAAAGCTCTAAGATAACTTTTTTAAGCAGCTGCTGTTTGGGAACGAAACTAAGACAGTGGGACAGTGCTGGGCTGTGCTGTTTACCTTGGCAACACAAATTCAGTGCCACAGCTGGGAGCAACAGAGTCTCAGCTAAAGTGATCCTGGGGCAGCTACCAAGGAAAGAAAAGTCATTCCACGCACTGCACTGGACAGCCTGTGTAACTGGCACAAACAGGAGTCTGCAAGTCAGGTGTCTATTTGGCAGAGAAACATCATTCTTGTTTTATGTTCTGCTGAGCGCTGCCTGCTGCAAGTGTGATGGGGGAACACATAATAGGATCCCTTTAAGGAGCTTTCACTACACACCCACTTGCCAGTAAAAGCTCCTTTACTCCAGCTTAAACACACACATAAGCCACGGTCTCAGTGCATGTTTATTCACAGATAAGTCAATTTTTGGTGTTCCCTGCCACAACCACTGTGATTTAGGGTTTTTGAGCCTACTCACCCTATACAGGTCAACAGAAGAGGTCTGCTGGACCTGTAAGGGGTCTGCAATCACTGGAATCCTTCCCCATACATCACGCTGCAAGCTCACACACAGAGACTGACCCTCTGCTATCGACCTACAACATACAAAAGACACTCACCCATCCCCGTCCAGGTGGATCAAGGTGTCACTCCACAGTGGCAGCACCAAGCCCATCGTACAAGTGCTACTGCAGTAAGAAAGAGCAGGTCAGTCTATTTACTGTGGCACCATGCTGTTATTCTAATTTCATGGCAATAACTGTGTATTTTTATACTCATTAGGAATGAAAAGGAAAAATCCCACTGTTGCTTCAGGGAAAAACAATGCCAGTGTTGTTCTACAGGGGTCTGACAAGGATCACTGATCAGATTCAGGGTACAGCAGGATCCTTTAAACAAGCTTAAAGGGTTAACACACACCCAGAGGAAGAGCAAACAGGATCCAGGAGCATTGAGCTCTGTGCAGAAGGTCAGAGGGGGCCTGCAGTCTTTGGTCAGCTTGAGGCTTTCTTTACAGATTAGTCCCTCTCAGGCTCAAGTGGTTTGGTTCTAGCTCTGATTTTGCAATCCTCAGCTTTGCTTTCCTGTTTGTTCCCCAGCCACAGTTGCTGGCAACTGGGAGCAGTGCAGTGCAATCACAGGGTGACTGGCAGCAGGGCAGGTTAGCAATCACTGCCTATCACCTGTGGTTGACTCCTGACCCTTCTTCACCCTCCCACACCTCGAGAACGAGTCCAACAGCCAGCCCAGACAGACACTTCTTGGCAATCCCACTCCTCTCTCAGCTGCTTTGCCCTCTTTGCCCTCACAGTCACCTGCTTTCTGTAGGGCTGAGCAAAAAGCCAAGTTAAAAGTAGAAATCAAGTGACAGAAAAAAGGCAGGGGAACCCAACACAACCTGCACCAGGTTATAGAATCACAGAATACACCAAGTTGGAAGGGACCCAGAAGGATGATCGAGTCCAACTCTTAACCCTGCACAGGACCATCCCCAAGAGTCACACCATGGGCCTGAGAGTATCATCCAAATGGTTCTTGAGCTCTGGCAGCCTTGGTGCTGTGACCACTGCCCTGGGGAGCTTGTTCAGTGCCCAACCACCCTCCGGGGGAAGAAACTTTTACTAATATCCAACTTAAACCTCCCCTGACACAACTTCAGACCATTCCCTTGGGTCCTGTCACTGTTCCCCACAGAGAAGAGATCAGTGCCTGCCGCTCCTCTGAATCTCATAAAGCTGCAAAAATCGCTCCATAATCAAAGCAGCATCTTGAAGAAGAACTGAATTCAGCCGCCTCCTGCTCCTATGCTTTGCACTGGGTGCTCTCAAATTTCCACCAGCTCCAACGCCCCCGCCAGTCTCCAGCTCATGACAAGTGGGGGAAGAGGGTGAGACCAGGCTTTGGAGGGTCAGCAGACATGGAGCCCTGGCCGTGCACACGCCTCGGAGCGCCTGGTGCCCCGCACAAGGAGACACTGCGGCACGCAGCTATTTCTGTTGACAACACGGGATGAGCTCATGGAAAGATGTGTTTTTAAAAGGCTTCCCAAGGTGGCCGGGGTATTTTTAGTGATACTGTGCAGCGAGCGCTTATCAGAGACCATAGCAACAAGTCTACACTGGGTTATAAATACCGAGTGGGCTCAGGGAGGGCGTATCAGAGTGACCATCCAGAACCTCAGTAACTCCAGCAGAAAGCTGAAACGACCCCGGTATGTTATTAGAGGCTGAATACCAGCGAGCTCTCAGTTATCAAAGGTGGCTGTGCTGCTACATCACAGCCAACAGTGAGCTGCTCCAAGCTCACAGCAACCTGTGCAAGGACAAGTTATTCTTACCCACAGCAAGAGCATCCCTGAGCCACAGCTGTGCACACCCGCGCAGGGAGACAGGAGCCAGGGGCAGCATCAAGCTGGTCCCCTGTTTTAGCAGCAATCACCCAAGCCAAGCGTCCAAACTAAGCCACCTGAGACTAAGCATGGTGGCTGCTGTGACCAGCACGCTGTTTAGGAGGCAATTTCTTAGCCCAATAGTTCAAAAATGTTTTCTAGTGACCCTGCTAACTACTAAAGTAATTTATTCCAACTACTGTCAAGACTCATTCCTGGAACAGCTGTGCTAGAAGTAAGCATGAGTACGAAAGCTTCCAAAATAGGTTAAATATCCAGGTGATTTTCTCCCCATGTAGGCCAAGATTTACTTAGAGCTCATGTGCTTCCAAGCCCTCTTCAAAGTGCCCAATGTCCCCTTCTAAATGTGAAGCTTCTGTCCCTGAAGCTGCAGGGGTGCTGCCTCCTGGCTTACAGGCCCTCCAGCAGCAAAAGCTGCTTCCCAGCCACATTCTGCAGCCTTGTGGAAAGGTCAGCAGGAATTTAAATGAATGAAGCAGAAGCACTAAACCCTGGTGACACACTGCTGTCTGGGGAGAGCACACACTGTGCAAGATCTGCCATCTCCAACCCTGACATTCCCATCAGGCCTTTTTTGCCCTGACCTTGGCAAGGGGCTGCCTCACAGTCACTGTCTTATTACCTGCTCTCCTGAACCCTGACAGCTTCTCTAACTGCAGCTTTTTCTTTCTTTGCATGCAAATTGTCCCTGTCCCTGGTGTGCAGATGCAGGACTTAAAAGACCTAAGAGGCATTTAAGGGCACTGAACACCCTCACACAAGCCTGAGGCTCAGAGGAATCAACAAAATGCTGACCTGCACTGTTGCCTTCCCATTTGCCATCTCCTTTCAAAAAATAAAAAGGGAATTCTGGATCTCAAAAAAGGTATTAGGCTGGAAAATCTGAAGCAGTCTATCCCCAGAAAACATGGACACCAGACAGTGATTTCTGCACTTAACTCGATGTGTGGGTGAACACAAGGACTTCCCCCACCTGGACCCTCTGAGTACCTGTCATTGGAAGAGAAATCCATTCCTAGGACAATGCTCTCTTCGGTGTCTTGTCTGCCATTGGTGGACACCACCACCATGTATCTAGTGCGGTTCTGGTAGGTACTTTCCAGTCTTACAGCCTGAAGAAAAGAAGGGGAGAGATCAGCAGTGCACTCAGCAAAACACACATTATTACCTTCACAAGCCACTTTTTCATGCTCAGTGACAGGTGCAGAAGCAGTGATGCAGTTTGGACTAGTACGGATGTCCCACGCTCCTCAGCTGGGTAAGAAGGGCCTCACTCTCCCACAGTGCCTTCCTCAAGAGCTGGGATGTTCCTGGTGCCCTCTGCATGCCTGGCTCCAGGCCTGCTCTGTCCCACTAGGGTTGGTTCTGAACAACCTACAGCCCTCTGACTGGTCCCAGCCCTGTGAGCTTCGTGGACCATCACACGTCCAGCGAGACAGAAGGGTGTTGAACATGCTCTTCACCTCTCCGAGGACTTTGCCCAAAGAACTAGAACTTTCCTTTGAACTACTGTGTGCTACAACAGCTCCAACAAGACCCTTTCTACCACCACCAGACAACCAAGATCTAATTCATGGGACCTAATTCATATGTGGTTTCCTGCTGGTCCTTTGAATTCTTCTGGCAACTTCCCCAGTGCAGATGCAACCTTGCTGCCCTACACCTGGCAGGAAAAGATGACTAAGTTGTATCCACCACTGGATTCAGATTGCCCAGAAAAGGTGAAAGTCATTGTGCCTCATTGCTCCTGCCACAACCACATTTACCCCAGTGCCAAGAGAGAGCTCTAGCAGGACTGCAGTTCAGCCCAAACTCCCCCAGATCAAATACTACTGACAGCATTCAGAGAGCAGCTGTGGAACTTCAGCTGTGAATGTCAGACCAACACTGAAGCTCCTGAAAGGCTGCACTGAGCTGTGCTGCTCCTCCAGAAGCCACAAGGAAGTGAGAACTGAAGTGACTCCAGCAAATCTTACAGACAGGCTGCTGGTTAGCGAGGAGCCTGGGAAAGGGAGCCCTGCACTGCCTATAAACATCTGCAGCAGGCAGCCTTTACTTGCAACACTTTCTGGACTCTGTTCCAAGCCATTTACAGTTATTTTAGTCACAGGATCCGAAGTAGAGAAATTAGGACACCCCTAGAAAGGAAGTGTCTTAATTCTGTATACTAAACCTTAACTTTGGACAGCCCAATCCAACCCCAAGACCCTGCCTGGCCTCAGTGTTTACCACACTGTTAAACTGCTCCTTGAACTTTGAGCGGGGCCTGCAGAGAGCAAACACGGGCAAGAAGGAGCCGTCCCAGTCCAGCCTTGCCCCGTGCTCAGCAGGGAAAGCTTCCCAGTGGAATTGTAGGGAGCAGCAGCTCTAGTGATGAGACAGAACAGCAAGTGCAGGCAGGAGACGGTGTTGATGGAGTCTTCTAGACTTGTCCAATGGGACCAAAGACCAACAGAAACTACCCAAATGCTGATGCCAGCAGACAGCCGTGCTCTGTACAGAGACTGTGCCCCACCCCATCTCCTTAGGATAAGTCATGCTAAAACCAGCCTTATTTTCCTTCTTGCTTCTTGAGTCACTGGGATTCCTTTGGAAACACGGAAGATCAAAGCGGTCAGTCCTCCAAGGTGTGAATTCTGCCAAAGACAGCTGTTTCTACCACTAACCACTTGTGGGAAAACAGAAAGGTGCTCTTCCACCTAGAAGAGCAAGTAGTCATCAAGGGCTTGGTGGTTAAAGTTATTATCTACATTAGGAACCAAACCTCAACAAGAAGCACAGACTTGCCTAAAATGGGAGCAGACGGACGCAGCTGCTCCATGTTCGGGGCATCCACACACAAGTTCTGTTCTGCTTCTCTTGAGGACAGTCCATAAGCAAGAGGATTAACATAATCTAACTTACTTTGCTAAACCAATTTGGCTGGCAGTAATGGGAAGTCTTAATGCAAGACCCTTTAGAACAAGGCGAGACAAACAGCGAGCAAAGGTCACGTAGCTACATGTCGGTGGGGTGGGATTTTCAGAGGCCACTTAAGAGGAACAGGGCATGGCTTAGTGTGGCTCTCTGGGCTCAACACTTACGCCCTCAGCACAAAGCAAAGAACCACGACTGGGGCAGATAATGTGTTTTGCTACGTTTACTGGAGTAATAAACCCGCAAATTTGACACTGTAAATCAGCCAACCTCAAAGATTACTACTAGAGCTCCAACATGCCCAACAAATCACAAATGAGTCTCCAGCCTTGCCATTAAGTGCTAGTTCATACGCTCACCTGACAGCAGGAGCACACCAAGTGCTCTGATGCCTTTTAAATGAAGGTATTTGAAAACCCAGTCACTTTAGAGAGGATGGCCTGGCTTCAGGGACTGTGATGAGATGGGAAGTTCTTTCTCAACAGCTCACCTATATAGAGCTAGCTTTCTCAATTTGGGAAGGTTATTTGTGGTCTGTTCATGAACAAATCATCACCCGTAGTGCTTTCAGGGCCAGACATTTTTTTACTTTCAGGCTCACCTAAACACAAGCCAACTTTATCTTCTGCTGCATTCTTGTTTCATCAGAAGTATGATTTGATATTTCACCAGCCCTTATGAACAGCACATTCCAAGAAGTTCATACTGACCTTTCATCTTTTTCATTCTCTCTGATAGTGTTTCATCCAGGAAGACATTTCTCACTGAGTTACTTGATTTGAAGACAAAAAAGTATGTCCAACTTTCAAGTCCCCAGCTCTGCTAAGCTACAGAAACATGTTCGATCACTTTGTACTCTTAACTCCTTTTTGCTCCTTTCTACTGATTTTACACTGGTACTGTTGCTCTAATCCTGCTCTCATGGAGGGCTAAAAACCTCTGCCAACAGCTCCAACAGAGACAAGGGTTGTTCCAAATTTTAAGTGTAGGTTTTTAGAGGATTAGATTCTCTGCTGCCCTCTGAATGACAGCAGCCAACGAAATGAAGAGAATGCATTTCTCTCAGTACTGTTTATATTTCAAATCTCATTTGTATCTACTGTCTTGTGAGAGACTCCACTGCAGCTCTGCACACCCTTCGTTCGTCAAGAATCAATTAAATTCAAGTAGACTATCGAACTTAACCTCACGCTACATTTCAGCATTCCAAATGTAGCTCAGAACAAAAGGGTTTATGTCTCAGCCCACAAAGTCCTTATTCAGCTGTTAAGGCTAATTTGTCCCAAATCACACAATGTAGCCAGTGATATTGCTGAACAATGCCTTGTTCAATGGCTTCCAATGTTCTAACCCCAGCTCAGATTCTGAAAAGCATTGAAAACCCCCATTCCCATCACTTTCAGCGAAATTTTAGTGACAGCAAGGTGTGCCTGAAAAAGTTTAGAAGCAGGTCCTTTAGTTTGCTTATGGCAAATTATTTTCGGTGGTCATTTCGGAAGTTTAAGCATTCCATATTAATCTTGGCTGTTTCCTAGCTATACTCATACAACCAGTCCATCCTCAGCACGGCCCAGGAGGATTCAGCAAACCAGAGGTGCCAGATAACACTTGTGGTGCTGGCAGTCCTTCTTTGGGCAGACGTTGCTAAGATGCACCAAGACAACACAGGGAAGAAACTTCAGGCTACTGAGTGATGAGAGGTGCAGATACACTTGCAGTCATGCCTGGCCTTGTAGAGCACTTCAACATGTCCCAGACAAATTCCTCACTGCTCACACTTGGCTTCTGGAGCTCTTCAGGACTGCATGACAATGCTATGAACAGCAATACCTGATTGCATTGTTGTAGGAGGCAACAGCCCAAAAAAGCAGAAGGCCAAGGTTCAGTGTAGGTGCATGGCTACATGGGGGTCCTACCTGCTCCTTCCTGATAAGCCATGGCTTTTTAGGATGCCACAAGTGAGGAGAGAAGAGTGAGGTACACAACTGAACTACTGTAGGAAGGCAGGTGCTCACACTGGTCGGACATAAGTCATCTACTCTTGATTTAAACAGGGCACCAAGATAATTTACCCATCTTCTCTGGCAATTGTTACAGGACTTTAAGAGCACAGGTACTCAGTGCTCGGTTCAAAGACAATCTTCCAGCCATACAATTTGTCTCACTGAACAACCAAATAAGCAGGCCTTTCATAATTAGCTGCTTTTCTACCTTTGTTGTTGCAAAGACTCCCCAGACCTGCTGACGATACCACTCAGACACAAACACAGCACTGCTTTCATGAGTTCCACAGGTGTATTTGTCAAGTGGCACTTAACCTTTACATTGGTTCCCAGCAGATAAGCACAAAGCCGACCTACCAGTCTGATGTTGTCTTCTGGGCGGAGCAGGATGAACATGGCCTGCAGGTGCTGCTGGAGATCCCCTGCGGGCAAGAGGGAAAGGTGAGTGCACAAAAATAGTTTTAAATCACATGCAAGTTCCTGGCTCTCCAGCCAGAGCAAATGTCCACTGAGAAACCCGACACGTCACCGTGAGTGTCGTCACTCCCACCTCCTCAGAGATGAGTTGTCATCTCTGAGTCAGCTGCTCTTTGCTCCCTGTGCTCACCTGTTCCTCAGTTACTATGCTCTCTCCTGCTAAATCCTGTTATCTTTTTTAACAGAAATTAACAGTGTTTCGGTGTTCTTTGTTCTTTTAATAGACAAGGCAAACTAGGTAGAAATGGACCCCACCCCTGTGGCTCAACATCTCATTCTACCACATGCTTCAAACCAGAAATCTGCCACTTCTTTTATACCAACTTCTTTTTATACCAACTTTTTTTACACCCAGTGCAGAACTACTACCCAGACAAAAGTATCCCCTATGAAGTGAGATTTAGTCCCACCTTAGACCAGCACGTGCCCACGTATGGTTGTGTACCAACCCCTCCCAAAAGCAGCTAAGAATTGCCACCTGAAAAATCAAACACCTGCAATTTTTTTCTTAGAAAACACTTGCAACACTTTCAACTGGTGAGGCCGAGGAAAAATAAAAGAAAATTAAATTTACTGCATGACTATGATTTTGAGTCTTATTAAAAAATGAGTCAAGTGTCCCAGGTACCTATAGCATCAAGTATTTGAAAGACAACTGAGATGCCTTTCTGCCAGCACTGCTGCACTGACTTCTCAGCACTACTCCCTGGCCTGCAGAGAGCCAACATCACCCCCTGAGTGTCAGTCAGCAGCAGCATCTCCTGTTTCTGCCATCGTTGTATGGAAAATTAATCTGCATTCCCAGAAAGGAGAGTGCAAGGCTGCCAGGTGGGTGGTACAGATCAGCAAGAAGAGGAGCCTTTACTGTCCCACCCTCTCCCACTCCCCCACATCCAGGAAGCTGAGTTTAGGTAACACTACAGGGAAGACCATGAAGCAGGAGCAAATATTCAGCAGGAGTGGTTACAAGAGCATTTTCTAGGAAGGCTGGTTAATCTCCCTGAACTCCTTTCCCAAATCATCAGTGGTTCTACAATCCATGCTATTTCACAGACTCTCAGAAACCAGGAAATCTTGGACATGGAGCAGCATCCAGAAATGCCCCAAAAGGGGAGGGAAAGAAAGGAAAAGCTGTCCAGCAAGAGCACAGTACCCAGTTTCCTAATGACTTTTACAGCTGGTGGAAGAGCAGCCCCTCTCTGGATGGGACAGAGGCAAGCTAGCGTGGAGTGGGCTACACAGGACACAGCATTCCCTGCTCCCTTCCTTCCTCCTTGAAACACATTTTAGCACATGGAGAATGAGTCAATGCTCTGGGATTGCATTCTCAACTGGGGGTGGGAAAAACTGAGGCACTCTGCACCGCTGGGGAAGTCACAAAGTACCAGCGGCTGAAGCCGCTTCCTGCCCAAGGACATTGTTCCCAATGCAGGAGTGGCTGGCACGTGCCTCCATAAATAACAACTATTTATGGAGGCAGGTAACTCAGGAAAGGCCAACTCATCCATCAGGTGCTTGTCCTCCCAGGGGTGCAGCGACAGGACTTCCCCACGTCATCACCAGTGCAGAATCCTGGCAAACACCGCCCAGTTCCAGCAAGTTTCAGCTGCTCCCACAGTGGGAATTGCTGAGAACAGTCAACTCAACAGGTGAAAGTCCCTCTGCACCTCCTGCCCACTGCCTGGAAGAGCCCTGCAAGTGTCTGTCTCATGAAGCATCCACGTCTTAGGTAGCTTGAAATGAAAGATGCTTCACCTCAGCTTTTCCTTCCCCAAAATGTAACAGTTCCCAGCTATTGCTGCCAGTAATTCAGGAACCAGCTTAAGAGCCAAAGTTTCCAGAGTTTAAAAAAACATCACCAGGAATACTGGATTATCTCCACACTTAAAAACGAGACAAAGTTTCTACGACAACCCTTTCTGCAAGGCTCAGTCAAGGAGCTCCATTATCCCTCATCCTCAGAAAGTTTACCACACTCCTCCCTGTTCCCCTGCCAGCCTTGGGAGCTCCAGAGCTGGAAAGTAAAGGATTGCTTCCTTGGCCAGCTTTAATCGACTTGCAGTGTTTTCAGCCCCAAACACACAAGGCATTTTGTAAGCTTCCTGGATTAAGAAAAACCAAAGGAAAGGTTTTAACATGCCAGAATCAGCACAAAGATACCACATCCTGTCCTGTGAAGAGCTGTCAGCTTTGCTGGCATTCATGGCAGGGCTGCTGCTTCCTATCACATTGTCCTGCACTGAGCAGATGCTTTTGTTTCCCTGAGCTGGCAGGATAGGTGCAAAGCATCAGAGTGGGATCTGAAAAGTGATTCACAGCGTTCCAGAGATGGCAAAAGCCCCAGGGAAGTTACACTGTTTTCTGGCCTGCGTAGTTTGTTGTGGAAAAGCAAGCCCACCATCCCACAGATCAGTTTTCCAGGTGGCACAGGACCGCCCAGCAAGAGGAGTGTGGACAGGTGGTGCCATATCTAGTCAATCTGCCAATGATTCCATCGCTGGAGATGCGATTAAAGAAACGGGTGGGAGCATTAATTACTTCCTGTTACCCATTTACTCTTCCCGCTGGATTCCAGCGCCTCTGATGAATTAAAAAAGCAGCTCAGGAAGGCTAGTGAAGCTTCCTAGAAAATGCTCTTGGAGTCACTTGGAATACTATTGCATCCATAGGCAGCAATTCCATACTGGAAAGTTATGTCCGCTCTCTACCCTCTGCTAATTTTGTGTGCCAGAGATAAGTCACGACATACAAGGGAATGGAAGCTGAGCATGGAATATCAGTGTCCCAGAGAGGAGGCAGCTGCACACACTGTGCCAGCTCAGTGCCAGTGGCCAGTTCACCGCTCACAGCCACGCTCTCTACATCACTGATTTAATTTTGGTGGCACAGATGTTTTGCTCAAGAAGGCGACACATTGATCCCTCGGTCTGCTGATTATTAGAAAAATCCACAGAAAAGAAAGCTGGTGCACACGCAGACAAGGGACCCTCTGCAGTGAAACCTCTAAGCACCATAAAAATCACTACAGCATTCCCATCACTTGACAAGCAGGGAAACTGAGGAAAGGACAGTACTGATGCCTCATTAAATCTCAGGACAGGAATAAAATACACCTTCTAAGAACAAAAACCCCAGCCCTTAGGCAAGCCAGCCTCTCCAGTACCAAACATCTTGCTGTAAGCAATTACAACACACCGGATTTGCTTCTTTGGCAATCTGGCTTCCAAGAGCTCTGGGCTGATTAGACAAGCAACTGTTTTTCCACCAAGGTCTCCAGACCTCATGCAAGTCAGCCGGAGCAAGTGGATGAGGGAAGGAGAGAGACTCAACAGCTGTTTGTGCTGCCTTGCAGAGGTTCACAAGGAAAACTATCCAGTGGGTCTTCTCTGGAGGTAAAGCCAAGGCAGCAGCTGCCAGGGGGAGACCTGGGCTTCAGCAATGGTCTTTGGAGAGACCAAAAACCAAGACAGGCCAAGAAAAACTTTTAAAAGACTGCTGACTACTTTCACACTAAAGACAATTTCACTTCATTCTCGACCAGAAAGGCCAGCTTTAAATTAAGCTTCAGAACATTTTCTTTCGACAACCGGTAATTAATGCATCTCACCAAAGTAGTTTGAATCCAAGTATGTGATTAACTGCCTTCTGACTTAAACCTTTTCTATAAATATACTCGTAAATAGATTTTTAGGTGGCCAGACATCAGGTACGGAACTCTGCCAGATGTAGACCTGGATGACAAGTCTGCTGGTCTCAAAGTACAAAGTGATCTACACCTGGAATCAAATCAAATCACGTTTTGCTGGTCACTTCCTGGCAAAGCACATTGACTCCTCCTCTCTGTTTCTATTTCTGTCCCATATGCAGAAGTCTGAAGGTTTCCATGTTTTTTTTTTCCTGTCAATTGCTCAATGCAAGGGAAAATCCCCACACTATCTGATCCCTGTAACACACCACCACTGATTAAGCACCATAGCCAATGAAAAACAACCTACTCTGAAATGTTTGAGTTCCATTATTCAGGTCAACTTTTCAAAGAGAGTCAAAGCAAAAACACAAACTTGGAGCAGATAAAGGAGGCGGAATTATAACCAACTCTGTATTACTCACTCTGCTCACACCTCTGAGAAGTCACAGTGACTTTGCTCAGAGGTTTCCTCCCCCCCACACAGAGGTAAATATCCTCCCTTCCCTCCATCAGAACCGGTTACTTTCAGATTAGGAAGAACAATTACTCATCCCATATCACAACCTCAGGTTTCCCAGTGCAATGCCTGAAGGTTTTCATGGCAATCCTCCCATCCCCCCTCTCATACAAAAATTACAGGATGGTATTTGGGGGGGCAGTTATTCTGAAGTCTCCACGATGTCACGACTACTGCCTCGATGTCCCTCATTTTCGCAGGACAAACAAGAGTTCTGAAACCTTTCCATCTAATCAGCATCAAACAGCACAGCCTTGAGACTGGCAGGTCAGGCTTTAACAAACACCAGGAGCAGACAGAAATGTGTGTCATGAGGTGAAAATGAATTCAGGAAAAGTGGACTTTGAAATTAGAGGGAACAGACAAGCCCCAGTCATCCATACACCACTTTACCTGCATGTTTGTTGCGCCTGTGACTGATCCTGGGAGTGGATGACCCATTTCCACGTGGCAGGAAAAGAGCTGCACCTTTCACAGTGAGGAAGCTTTCGCTGATACTGCAAGGGGAGAGACAAACAGAGAGTGAGGAAAACCGTCTTGTATTTAAAAGGAAAAAAAGCAATGAATAAGAGAAGTTCAAGGCACTGAATAATGCATGCTCTGTTCTTTTGCAAGGAAGTGATTTAGACCAAATTGTTCTGTTGGTAAAGAACTTTCCCCCTCATGTAAGTGCTGCAAACACTCAAAGCATAACTGAGAACAACACAAAAAGAGAAACACTGAAAAGCAGAACACATGCCTGGTGCCACTCTGCCTGCAGAGGTGGAACCTATGGCTACATTCTGGATTTGGAAGTCAAGATGAGACATCCACATTTCTGAACGGTGATGAGCAGAGCGAGCCCACGCACCTCGGTAATTACGGACTCCGTTAACCCCGAGCTCTGTGGTTCAGACACAGCTGATGCCCTGCAGAAACAAATGTCTCCCTTCTGCAGTTAGCCAAAAGAAAATTAGTGTACACAACAGACTAAGAAATCACGAAACTACTGTCTATGAGTTGCGCGATAATTAACTCTCAATGACTTATAAATTAAAAACAAAACTGAAATGCTGTTGAAATCAGACACCACTTACTGCCCTGATTTTGCCCTTTCTGAAGTCACATGAGGAGAGAAGTTTGTAAAAAAGGGGCAGTAAAGAATTCCCAGATTCTGAGGAACAGCTGGTATTTTAAGCACATCTTCCAGTAGCTTTCTTAGAGATGTTGTGGTTCGTGGAAAAAGCAAGACACACTCCAGGTTTTGCAATTCAGCCATCCTGTTGCATACTTGAGGGTTCCTGCTTTTCTCAGAATTGATAAGACAGTCATACAGGCTTTGAAGAAAGCCAGAAGCAATTCTGTAGTCAACAGGATGGTTGATGAATATGGTAAGACAGAATGGGAGAGTCCCTGGCATTGTGCATTCCAGCAGCTCTGTGCCTTGAAAAAGATGCTGCCTTGTCCTTCAGCTGAGCAAAGCTTAGGAACTTAATTCCTTTCGCTCCTTAAACAAATATCAAACCTAATTATTTATTCCCTTCCTTTAAGAGACAAGGATTGGGAAATTATTAATAGAGTAAAAAGCCCTGCCACGTATTTTCATTATTTGGGGTTGACTGCTTTAGCAAAGGCCTTGCCAACTACACTTTTATAGGCACAAGAATTACACAAGCTTGTGTTAAAAAGTTGGATTTCCCTCTAAGCTCAGGCACATATCTGGGCACCTCTCCATTTTGCTGCTGGGGACATGAAAAAATGAAGTTTTCCAAGCTCCAGCAAAGCAGATGCACAGATTCAAAAAGACCTTTCTAAAGCCTGCAGCATATCCCAATATTTAGATCGTGCTGTCATACCCTCAGCACTCCTCGCTGACAAAGTTTCTCCCAGAAATTTCTTTCTGAAATTGAACCAGATGTCAAACATGCTCTGGATGTTTCAACAAAATAGAATTTCAAAAAGGAGAAAATCACTCATCCCAAGTTAAAATGGATCAGAGATCTTTACCTATACTAAAATTAAAAACAAAACATAATAAATTCATTGGCACACCAAGCACAGATGTTTCCTCAGACTCACATTAAAAAATTTGACTCAGCCTTTCTAGCTTTTGGTGACAAATAAATCCTCTGAAAGCTCTCAAGCTGCACAATTTCCTACAGCCTGAACTGGAGAAACACTGAGTTATCTCGAAGATACTTAAAAAAATAGTAATATTATTATTAATGATAAAAATAAATTCTTCTCCTCCCTTTATAATCTCACCATAGAAGAAAACTGTTAAAAGATGTTAGGCTGCACAGGAGGAGAAAGAACCCAGCACTCACAGCCACTTTTCACACAGTTTATCAGCAAAGCCGACAACTAATATTAGCAATCCTTTAGCCTGTGCCTGAGGTTCCCCCAGAAGGTGGAATTAGAAACTATTTTTAGTGGATACAGCAGCACGTAGCTGGAGGGCTGGGAGGTTAAAAATCTTCTCAATTCTATCACCAGCTCTCAGCCACCGGCCTGGAAAGGAACCAGCGGCAGAACTGAAGAGATTCCCATCAGGTGCATCCTTCCAGGAGGCCACCTTCTCTTCTAAAGCCAGGACAGCCTTGTTCTGGGCCATTAACCACAAGCACTAAGTTCGACTTGGTAAGACTAGGGAAAGGGAATGTGATTTCCCATACAAAGGACTGGAAGAGCTGAAGAATGTGGCAAAGCAGATCATTCTTGTGGAACGGGGAGGTCAAGCAGGGAGGGCAGCACCTCCCCCAGGGCAGGAGCGAGGGCAGGAGATGGCCATCAGCACTGCTGGGACAAGGGCACATCTACAGACACAAGAGCCCTGGTCCTTCTGCCAAATCCAGCTCTGGGGACACTCAGTGTGCAGATGAGGGCACGGTACACCCTCGGCATCGCCCACCCTGAACTCCCGACACCAAACACACATCGATATCCAGCACAGCATCTCAGCAAAAAACCCAACAATACACACACCCCCCACCAAGCCCTCGCCCTGAGATTCAAGCAGCACAAAAAATCTTGGGAGGAAAGGCCACAAATTTATAGAAAGTCCAAGGAGCTCTAATAATAACTACCAGCGAAGTTTAACACTGTTCTTTCAGGAGATGCTTATTTTGGTGCACAACAAGGGGAAAAAAAGCAATCAATCACCGCCCTGACATCCTCTGTGCCACACAGAGATGGCTGCTCAATTTGGGTCCATCCTGTTTGGACAGTCCCTGCCATGACCTTTCCCAAAAACTCCATATTTCAGGGCAAGATCACCTTTGGATACTACCCCTAATACAAGAGGAGAGAGGATTCCTTGGGTGGGATGCTAACAGGCTCTACCCCAGATGCTTCAGAAACACAGAAGGTAGAAAAGATGTGTGTGAAAAGGGCAATAAGGGCTCAAAACAACCCTCACAATGTGGGACTGTGCTCACCATACCAGCAGAGCTGTGCTGCCATCCACTACTGATTTCACCCTGCTGACAGCTCAACGGCTCCCAAGTGTAACCTGGGCTTTGAAATACTCCACAAAATCTGGTTTGCCAAAGCCTACAGGAGCTTCAATGCTCTTTGAAACTATCTCCTGGGACAGATTGGGTGTTAAAAGACACTCAGTGTGGGAGAAGTTGAGCCCAGGACAGCAGAAGACAAAGAGCCAAGTTGGCAGAGGTAACAAAGCTGAGCTGTGTTTTATCAGCACACCAGGCTCCTCATCAGTCCTCTGGACTGCACAGGGCTTTCTTCTGGAGCAGACTTACTCGGGACATGCCTATAGAGGAGTGATTAAATCCATAACCACTCCTCAGCACTACTGCTGGGGGGAAAAACCCCCTTCTGTTCCATGTTCAGCCTGCTCACTTCTACAGTGAAGCAGCAACCCCAAGGCCACCAGTGATGTGCTATTTGTAATTCCCTGCTCATTGGGAAGAGAACCAACACAAAGTGGGAAATTTAAGGAACTCCTACGGAAATCGCTACTTGTGCTGATTTTACTCCCAGGCAGAAAAGATTTTGTAGAAACTGTACAAGTCACATCAGATTATTTAAAGCCCTTTGCACAAAAAGCACGGACTTTCCCCTCAGAAGTCTCCATTTCTAACAAGCATTAACAGCAGGAAACAGAAGTGATTCCCGCGTTGCCTGACTTGCTGCCCAGGGGCTGAACTCCTCGTGCACGAGGAAAACACTGCACAATTCATACCAAATTCTCATTATGCTACAAAATAGGATCCACATAGAACTTACAGATGGCAAACAAACAGTAAATACCTTCCCAGCTGCTACCCTGCACAGCTCCGTTCATGAACTGCAAGGACAAACACCAATAAACTGGTCTGAAGACACAAAAGTGTTACTGGTTTAGGGACCATGCCAAAGTGATGCAACAACAGGAATCACTGGAAGCTTTGCCATGACCCTCCTGGATGATGCCTTCCATCGGAGGGGCTGCTCGGCTGGGGAGCTGCCCCACCTGCCAGCAGACAGGTGAATCTGCACCACCCACCAGTTTCGATGAGAAACCTCAGTCCTCAGTGTAAATTACTCAAAAAGGAACCTTATAGTTTTCTTTTGAATCTGTTGCGTAGAGGAAGAAGAGAAAACCTTTTTAAGAGCACGGCAAGGAAAGCAAGGAGGCACCTGAGCAGCTGCTGGCAATGTTTTATCCTAATAAACACTTAATTAAGTTATTGCGAGCCTGAGGACGACTTTCCAAAAGTCAGCTCTACATACTCATCAGAGCAGCTCCTTTACAGCAGGCTCTGTCCTGTCCAGCCCAGCCCTTAGTCAGGCACTTGCCAAGTAGCACAACCAGAGAGCTGGCACCATTCCCTGACAGGAGAAGTTCTTCCACCATGTCCCCCTGCACAGTGCACAGGAACTGGTCAGTGCAGTGAGGAGCGAAGCCCCCCGTGCTGTCACTCCTCACAGCCATGCCCACGGCACACAGGCACTGCAGGGAGGTCATGAACTCCTGCCCTGTTCCCCTTTGTCCTTAGAAGAAACAGGGACGTTAAAAAGTGATGGTAGGGGAAATGAAGATTTCAAGGTACTTCACATTTGAACAGAAGTCTATATTATTTACAGAAATATGAACATGATTTCTGTCAGCTGTAGGTATTTATTAAGCAGAACCCTGCAGAAAAGTGCTCTGAAGCAGCATCCTAACACAGCTGAGAGACTACTCTGGGATTTCAGTGCCAACCCTAGCTCGAGCTGCAGCTCCCCATGACAAGAGAGTTGTGGAGTTACCACAGACACTTCCAACTCCAGAGTGAAAAGAGATTTCCCTAAAGGGCATCTCTTGGAACACAACCACCATCCAGCACAAGCTCTACAAACACAAGACACTGCCTGGCAGAATTGGGCACCACCAGGAAGGGCTTCCAGTCTCCAATCCATTTGCAGGACATACCTTTCCCCCCTAGCAGCTGCTCAGAGCAAAGGCAAATGAAAGAAAAGCACTGCACTGATGAAAGCAGACAGGCCTGACAGTAAGGAATTACACAAGTTAACC